AGAAATATTACGTTAACATAAAAGCAAGTCCAAGTTTCAATTTCAATAATATTTTTACAAACAATTTCAAATCCGCCATAATTAATTATTATAAGCTTAAATATTGTATTGTGATTGTGACGATTCTCGACATCAGACATTTCAATTGAAAGATAAAATTGAGTATTTAAATAATTTCTAAAATACATTTTTATTATCGCCTAACTAAATTATTTTTAAAACTACTAAAAAAATCAATAAAGCCGGAAAAAATACTTTTTTTCTAACTGCAATAGTAAATTACAAAAATATATTTTTAATATTAACATCAAAAGTATATCCACTAAAATAGTATAACTTTAACTATATTCTAAACTTAGTATAACAAAAAAAAAAGATATAAAAAAGTAGCTACCACCAAACTAAAATACATTTGTATAAAATTTTTATTTTTATTTTACGACCAATTCCTTTTAACTTAACTAGGCACTTTTCCTAAAAATAATAAATCTCGAAAAATTATCATAACGAGCTTTTACAAAATAATCAAACGCAAAGTTACAAAGTTACGTAAGATTAAAATGACTATTGAAAATTATAAAAAAAAATTGCAACGTTTAAAAGAAAAAAGGCCAGCTGTCTAAGTCCGAAATACTTACATATATTTTGTAACACCATGTATCATATTATTTAATGAATTTATCATAAAATAAAATTATTTTCAACAGAGGTGTACAACAAACAGTCACTGCCTACGCGAGGCGTAATTCAACTCCCGCCTGACTATGTATCGTAACTGGTATTTTACGCGACTTTTTCAGGGTAACATGTGCTCATTGGAGCACTTCATATCCTGAGCTGCAATTCATGTCAAACTGGTTCTGTCAATGAGTTATATTCATAAGTATGAAAGTTTGGTAGCAATAAAGCACCTTATGAAAGAGACGTCCAGGGACATACTGCTACTATATTTACTTCTGCCGCCAAGCAGTAATGTATACGTTACTGCGGATTTCATGGGTAAAAGTGCTGGTAAAACTACATGCACAAGAGACTTGACTTAAGGTGACGGGTGTAATGGAAATGCCCCTCAGATCTTTGCGATTTAAAGCGCTTACCAGAACTTGCTCGTCCCGACACCTGAATATCGTAAAAAAGTTAATATATTATGAGTGGTGGATAATGTTCGCTTTTAAAAGCAGCTTTTAACATTCTATATTCTGCTGAAATGTGCTAGGTATACATTTCGTTTCACCTGGAATGCATTTGTAAAATGTTAAACATCAGTTGGTCAGGTCAAATTTGCGAAGGTCAAAAGTAGGTGGAGTCGAGGTATATCTTATGCGGCGGCAGCATCTTTGAGGAGGCCATATATCAAGGATGACAAAGAGGTGAGTGGCAAAGCGATATTTTATTTGTAACTTAAGGCGGTAAGCGAAAGCATGGCGGACATCTACTTAGATATAAAGATGTGCTTATGCGCCACATGAAAAATTGCGACAATGACCCAACAGAGTGGGAGAAGAAAGGCAGCTGATGGCGCGCAAATCCATTGCGGGCGATTATCTTTTGTGACAAACAAAAGTGACAATTTGAGAACCGTTGATGAATTGAATTGGACGTCGACGTGACGAGCTGAAAGCCCGACCACCTGCAGCGATCAGCTACCCATTACATTGAAGATGTGCTGACGTGCCCTCTGTGTGCACGGATCTTTATTAATAAGATTGGGTATGTGAGTCACATGAGAGCACACGAGCGCCACCAACAGCGGAGCAGTTATCGTGGTCGAAAACGGTCACGGAAAATTCATCATCACAATAATATGTCGAGTTAGTAGTAACGACAAAAATATCAGTTACGACAATTAGTGAGGAGGGAATCTATAATTATATCCCTTCTCGTACGAAAACTTTGTTTATAATCAATGATATTACGTAATACTTTTAGGTATTGATTATTTTAAAGTATTGTCATGTATATTTAAAAACCGTTACCTATGTTACGAGTACGTGTTATTTTTTTATGTGGATGTAAATGCAAACATGCTGTGTCGTTATACTGATTTCCAAAACCTTTTGTAACTAAAAAAAGCAAAATTTAATAGATGTAAACACATGAATTACATTTACTTTCATTAACTGCTCATCATTTTATTTATTTTGTCCACGGAGTGACAGCAAGTTCTATAAACCAAGTCATTTCAGTTACGTAACATCGGAATATCGACGTTGCCTCGTCGAGAAGTAGGCAAACAGTTTAGTTTGATAATTAAATATTATTCATTGACCAACAATGGCAATGTCACTGTACATCTACTTCTTCGATTGTTTAAAGTAATAACTCTTGTCATTTAAAGTATCATTGATTGTGATGTATTGTAATATTGCCTATATTATAAATTGTGAATCGAAAAAATGCTGAAGAACGATTATTATAAGGTGAAATATAAAGGTGTAGTCACATATTGGAACAAAAAAGTGGTAATATTTTGTCTTTCCGGTTTTCTAGGCGTTACGTCTTTAAAAAGAGTTCCAATCTCATCGATAAATGTTTTAGGATTTAGGCAACAGCTGGCTAACTACGTATGGTGAAAGAGGGCAATAATATTCTGTGTCTTTCCGGTTTTCAATGTGTGATAGATACAAAAGACTTTTTAATCGTGTCTATTAGTCTATTTAGGAAATTCCTATCTTTCTTGTTTACATATTCTAATTATCTTCCAATAGTAATTGTCAAAACTTAAGTTGTTCAATGATATGGACCATTTCATGTAATAAAGTATGAGTAAACTATTTTTTTTATATTAAATGGGCTTACTCAAGAGTAAGCCCATTTAATATTGGTCAAGACCAATACTTACCCCTGGTGCAAAGAAGGAGTCGCCAGTGGAACGTGAAGTGCCTATTCAATCGCACCCTATAAACATTTTTAGTACATGAAGACTAAAAAAATTCTTCACTTACAGTTTTTGTTTTCAAATCTCGTTTTCAGTTAAAGGTGAAATAGTTAAAATAAAATAATACTCTTACATAAGTTTACGTAAAAAACGAATTATACATCAATAATGTTAGGACGGATGTATTAGGTATAATTGCACTTTTGGAATGTTTATATTAACATAGAATATTTCTAGAAACAATAATCATTTAATATAGCTCTAATAGCTTTTAAACTGATGGATTCTTTTACTCTTTTGCCATTCTGATTTTGAACTTTAGTAATAAGAAAGTAATATTTATTTTCGTTTGCGATAACAGATTTAACACCATTAAAGCACGATTGTTTATGAAAGTTCTTTAGTATATTGAACGTATGCATAGTACAGATATTTTTAGACCAAAAGGCAGGCCGATGGCACCGACTAAGACACAAACTGCGTTTTAAATGACAACACTGAAACGGAATAATATAACGTCAATGCCACGAGACTGTCTTTCCATCTTGCAATTACTTTGCAGGTATTTGGTATGACTGGCTGGGACATGTTTTATTTTTTTTAATAACAATATCATAAAATACCTTGTATAAGAATTATACCATACAATACATATTATTATATAATAAGGCATTTGAGTGAAGGTTTCTCTAACTTTAGAATAATTTTCTAATGCATTGGTAGTCGATTCTGTTGGTAACGTACGAAGACTAAACAGTATTAATACTACTTACAACTTGATTGTGTATATTTGATACATATTTATTTAGTGTAAGTATCAACCTTTTCTGTAAAATATGAATGAAATAATAGTGATTAAGAAACCCTACAATTTAGTTTGTGCTACTACACACTCTAGTTCCACATATAACTGTTCATGAAAAAAGGCATAGTAAAATAAAAAAGAGTAGCCAGCAAGCAGGTAATTTATACGATCATCAGTTGAAAACATGAAAGAATAATATTATTATTTTCTTATTTCTCTGTCATACTTGCTTGTGTCATTTCATCACGTAGAATGATTGGCATTATAATATTTATATTTATAAATAAAAACCAGTGGAAGACGTAGCGTCTGTCATACAGTTTTATTTAAAACTAATACGGGTGCCAATGTTCAACCTTATCATAAAATGTTTCTCAACAAACTTCACCAAGGTCTGTTTTATACAACTGTGCACTTCAGAATCGACACCAGCTTTTATTAAGTATTAATTTAAATATAGTGATGTTTATTTTAGATTCTTAGGAATTATTAATAAAGGGACTATAATCTGAGATTCAATTTCTTTACATTTTGGTACAGACAGTTTTAGATCTCCAGTTTATAAATAATTCGTATTCAAGACTAACCATGCTTCAAGAACTAATAGTTTCTACTGACCACATTAATTTTAAAGGCATAAGTCAATATTAGAGATTATTTCTCGATTCAAAAGTCACGTTCAATGATTCAGCTGTCCTTACATAAGGCTAAAGTCAGCTCCATATTTTGTCTTTCCAGTTTTCATAGCATGACATAATTAAATTAATATTAAAAGAAATAGGACTTTATTCATCAAACACACATTATAGAAAATCACACGATACATGTACTACTAAACTATAAGCTACTCTGGTTTATATTTCTAATATTGTTATGTAAAGGACAAATCCTCAGTACAATGCTGTTTCTCAGTCTCCGCCTGTGTTTCCTGTTGGATATTGTCGAAAAATGATTTTGAACAAAAGATCTACATAAAAACAAACATCGTTAATCTAACTTAAATCTAACTATTTATTTATAATAATTATGCAAAAGGCGTACGGACTGTCTTTCAGGTTTTCATTTTCTAATAATTAGTTGTATAAATGGCATCACTGTCAAAAGTTTGATAGTGTGGTCTACCATACTATCAAACTTTTGACACTGTGTGATCTATCACACTATTTCTAAATACTGGTTTAGACGGATATTGAGCCGGAAAGACAAAATGTCAAAGCTACTTGGCTGTACTTCGCCTTACGCTGTCAAAATGCGTTACCACACGTAACGCATTTTGACAGCGTACTTACGTTATAAAAAATACAGCATCTTCTGTCTGCGGAATTTCTTACTATATGAGTTTTTTCTAGAAAGTAACTTATAGTTATTTATTAATCCTGAAATAGTGGCAGGAACATTGACTATTGGCGCCTAAGTTAGTGTTGTCAGTACCAAAAATTTGATCTTTACTTGTCAGGTTATATATGTTACAATTATTTCATCTTCCACAGTAAATCAAGTTACATTTAACTTCCATAGACCCGCCATAGACAATGTAGGTAGATTTACGTTATATTAATTGTGACAATCTCTGTAGATGTGTATGTTGAATTCAACAAACGGTATCTTCTGCTCAGGTGTCAAGTAGCAAAGATCCTGGGGAAAAAAGTTGATTATTAAAAAAAATATTCGCCTATTTACGTTCTATTGCCGATTTCTCAGTTATGTAGTAAAAAGGTTCTATAAAAACATTTATACTACCACTGTAGGTATAACTTTTAGCAGCGTATGTAACGAAGCTTGTATCTTCATATCTCAATACCAATATAATATAATAAATTAAGCGTAATTTTAGATTTCTAATCGTTTTTGGCTTTAACTGTTTTATAAGAACAATTATAGTACCTCTACACAATCTACTATGCTAAACCTGAGAAGCCAGGCCTTCGTATTTTGAATCCATATTGAACGTAATGTCGAGTGAGAGTCGTGGTTTGCCGATTTTTCAGTTAATTCGTTAAAAGTACTGTATAAAAACACTAATAAAACCACTGTGCTACCTGAAGAAGCCTACATGAAGTGCGATATAGATGAGTCTATCGCTCATCCACATCGCACTCAAGTATCTTTTAAAAGTTTAAATGTCGACTAACTAGTTGATTTCTCTGTTAAATACCCTTTGGTGTATTATGTATTTTGATATAAAACATATAAATGGGCATTTAAACTCCATCTCACCTGATGGAAAGTGATGATAAGGTCGATAATGAAGCAAGCACACCTAAATAATGCCTATTCACAATCGCCTTGAAAATGTCATTGAATAACTATGCAGGCAGGAATTTAAATTCATAGCCGTTCGCCATATAAATATGATAACAAGTCGTGCGAATTCTTGGAATGTCCACCATATAGGGGTGGAACTCAAGCCCACGTCTAGTCCCCGATGGTGGAAAGAGGAAGGCGGAATTAAATCGTGCAATTCCCTCGCGATATAAGAATTATAAAACCAATATATTACCTTAAGCTGCGTATACGAAGCCCGTATCTTCATATCGCGATCCATATTGCATTCAAGAGTCATTTTTGAAGTCCAAGCGTCGACAGATGGTATTGGCTTGGCGATTTCTCTGTTAAGTTGGCAGTTCTTGACCGAGTCATACTTGCAGTGGAGATCGCAGAGGCGAATCTCTTTCAATTTAGTAGAGCTATAACAAAATTATATAACCAATTCAAGATTTTCTATATATTGTATGTAGTATGAATGTAGGTACCTATGTAAACACTTTATTATACCACAAAACAAATTTTAACAAATAATTTAAAATGAAATGTAGAAAGGCGAGCTTATCCCATAAAGGGATTCTTCCAAATAACCTTTGAATAACCGAGATGAAAGTTGGTTGTTAGTTTGACGATAGAATATGATTAAATAAAAAAAAATTTAATGTTACATACTCAATAACTACAGAGATAAATTTATTATATTATTATCAAACCTACAGCCCCATATCTTTCTACAAAGTTTTGTTTACATTGTCTCTCCCTATAAATCTCTTGGTTATTCGGGAAGGGCACTATAATCTGTGCAAACAAGCTCGCACAGGGACCTTCTCAGTCAGGTCCTGGCCCCAGATTAGCCCGTTCGCACGGACTTCATCCGGTTCTCAAAAGGCCTTGGGTGACCTGTCCCGGGCGCACGTACAGCACACTCCCTATTTTCCAGATGTATAGTACCGGAGCTGTAGGCACGCTCACTTTCCGTTATCAAATGTATATTATCAAATGTACAGTCAACAGCATATCAAAATACACTATGTTTGAATATCGCCTCCAGTGCAATGAAAGAAGATCTGTCAATGTGTAGCTTGACGTGCTGCCGTGTACGACTGTACATACTGTACCCTAATAGATACGAAAATGGAAGAAAATGAATTTGCTACTCCACGAACTCAGTGAAGGTTAAATCGTGCAAAATAGAATGCCTGAATCTATTAATTACTAATAGATATAAATATATAGTAAAACTTATATATCTATATGGCCGATAACACAGCGGTCCTGCGGTTATCATTATTACTACAACACTATAACTTAAGAGAAAAAAAATAATTAAATGACTACCCTCTTTTTGCGTGCGGGCGTTTAAAATAAAGAAAACTGCCACATTTTGAATTAGAACACTTTTATAACAGTATATTAGTAAGCCCTGTACTGCCTCCGTAGCCAAACGGTTACCATGCCGGAGTGCCACGCAGAGGTTGCAGAGGAGGTGGGTTCCATTCCCGGGCCGGGAGTAATATTTGTTAAGGCTTACATTTATTTATCTCGTGTGTTGTAATTTGTGGTTGTCTATATGTGTGTGTGTCCTTGGCACTGGCGTCACAGGGTTCGCCCTGTGCGTTGTTTATTTATTTATTTATATTTTCCCGTACTGAATCGGTTCAATTGTGCGAGTCGAGTGGCTTTATTTCAGAATCTTTATTTTATTTACAAAAGCAATGAAAGCCATTTCATAACCAGAAATAGAGACGAAATGTCATTTAATTTGTTTGAAAACTATTCTGCCGTATCATTACTGTGACAATTGCGATCCTATTGGCCACTCCGAATTCAAAACAATTGACGGGTGTCGTCAATTGTTTCACTTCAAATCGACCAGTTAACTTGAGCTTTGCTATAATGGACGAAAATTGCAAAATTACATATTTAATATTTAATTACCGATGAAATGTGATTCAGTTTGTTTTGTAATTAGATGTTTTGCTGTTTTTCCCACACCACCGAATAGAACTGCACGGTTGTTTTTATTAATATCTGTATTATCTTTATTACAATAAATACAGAATATTTTTTGGAATATACGGAGACGTACTCACAGGTCAGTAGTTGGCCTGTCCATATTTCAGTGCAAACGGGAGTTGATATTTGTAAGAGCTGTATCGCTAATGTGTTACCAGGAATATATGGCCCTTATTTCGTCTCTATTTCTGGTTATATACTCGATGGTCGTACACCATCTTCTATTTAGTTCAGTTGATTTAAAAAAATATTTGGTATACGTAAAGTACCCATTGAATACAACGGTTTTCTGGTAAAATTTCGAGGTAAGTTTATGTTTTTTTTAAGGAATCGTGTTTTCGCACCGTACACTAATCAGTGTATATCCTCAATACTTTTAAATATTTTCTCCGAAGTGATTGATCCAACACTTTCACTGTTACGCGAAATCAACCAAAGCCATTTGAAATTGTATTAACTATTAATAAGCATAAATTAACAAAGTGATGACTTACCGAAATATAATGTCGAGATGTTTATGATGCAAACATCGCGACAAAGGCACTGTATAAGTGTAGTTATGCACTCTCAGAGCGCAGACTTCGCGTTCCACGAAGACAGAGTTGTTTGAGACCGACTTGCTCGATATACCCACCGATATCGTGTCGCAATCTGTGACCAAAAATACATAACAATAATAACAATTACAAAATTATTATAAAAGTGAGGATAAATTGTATTAGTATGTAACAGGTGTAACACAAAAAGATTTAGAGAAAGCAAAAGAAATAAGAGTAAAGTTAACAATAATTATGGAAAAAGAACTGATAAGTATGTAATCATTGACTTACAAATAAATGGACGACGGGTCTAATACAAAAACCACGAAAAAAATGTCCCAAGTCAACCTATTTAAACGTAGTGACATGTAAAGGAATATGAAAAAGCTAAAACGTTGAATTTAAATTGTAATGTCATCGCAGTACTGTCTATTTTTGCTTGCTTCGCTGTCAGTCGAACAAACGAAGACTAAAGCGTGAATGACGCTTTGTATACGATTTTAACGCCCTATAAGCTCGGACACTTTAGGACCCGACGTCCATATAATTGTAAGCCAATGTATGTAATACCAAAAATATACAATGTAATCTCTGTATAGAGTGCTAAAAAAACCAATAAAGTATTATTAAAATCGGTTACCGGAAAGTGCGCGAAACCGGTTTCATACTTTGCCACCTTTAGAGGTGGAATATTTTTGTCAAACTTTGAATGGGTCCACTACTATTTCCAACAAAAAGAGAATCATTAAAATCGGTTCACCAATAATCGCCTTACTTTCTGAAACTCGTATCTTAAAACACAATGTTACTGAAATACAAAAAATGGATTTTATATACAAATTTTGCAGGTTGATTTCACATCAAATTACCCTCATATTTACAGCCCAGCTTTTACCTATTCTTAAAGTAATGCGTCCAAATTAACACCCTTGATAAGAAATTTAAAATAAATAGAAAGTTTTGTCATCTTCTGAATAATCACTCTTTATAAGATACGAGTTTGAGAGAGTAAGGCATCGAAATGCCGCTTAAAAAGTTATCGCGTAACGTACAGAACAAAAACGTACCTACATTTATTATGATTAGAGGTAGTATTATTTAGAAAAGACAGTTTTAGTTGAGAAAATTAGCTAGTATTTAATGTAACTTAATTAACTAGAATAGATATACGTATTATGTGATTGAAAAGAGCGTTGGCTTGCCAACAAACTGATGCCCAGGTTGGCAAGGTCTTTAAAATAAGTCTAAATTGTAAATCTCTGGAGAAATCAATAAATAAAATAAAAATCCAATAAACCATATTCATTCCCTAATTTGACACACTTCGACGTGGAATATTGTCTTTATTTCAATGGGACCACTACTGAGGAACCCCCTTTTTAATAAAAAAGGAATAATCGAAATCGGTTCACAACTGCCGGAATAATGGCGTAATATATACACAAAAAAAACTGTCAAATTGAGAACATCTTCCTTTTTTGAAGTCGTTTAAAAATAGAGCCAACAAGGTTTTAAAAGCATCCTTGATTTTTTAATAATATCAAGTAACGGGACGAATAAGTCGTGCGCCTGGTGGTAAGCGACACGTCTATGCTAACATTTGCAGTGTCATTACTAAACTCGCGACGAAGACACTTCTAGTGGCAGTAAAGCTTTCACCACTGTCACCTTATCTATTTCTGCCGCCAAGCTTTAAGGGTGCTGGTGAAATTACAGGCACATGGGACTTGTGTACTTATTTATGTCTCAGGGTGACGGGCGCAGTGGCAGTGGCCTTCAGATCTTTGCGATTTAAAGCTCTGAGTGGCACTACAACCAGGCGCACGACTTGTTCGTCCTGTTACTTTATATAGTAAATTAGTAAATCCATTCCTAGGCCCGACGTCCACGATAGAGAAATTTTTAGGTAAATTCTTTACCTCATAGCTACAAAAATAAAGTCGCGGTAAGCATAGGGATACCGAGCTGGCAATCTCTAGGATGCTTCGGCAGGCTTTTAACGGTCATTCATCCAAAATCTTCTACTTCTTGGAATAAGGTATGTCTTTTGCTTCAGCAAGAATAAACCAGCTGGCAACGTTAACATAGATTTGAGGAGAGACTATGTGCGAGCACGATGTCGTCGTATGTTTTGGCATGTCTAAAGTTGCCGCGGCAGAATTATTGTCAGTGTGCGCTTGCATGTAGGAACGCCGAAGGATCCCTTGCAATGCCGTCCTGCCAACGGGTGCCAGGCCTTAGAGAGCATGAAACATTTCACCTCAACTTCATCAAAAATTGAAAATCTTCTAGTACTTACCCTTAGCTCCAGGAATTTCATCAGTCAGGTTCATCTCTTCAGAGCTACTCCTCAGTAAGGCTTCGTTTGTTTCTCGCTTTGCTCGGATGGCTCGTTTGAGACGAACTGACAAGGGAAGCATTTTTATATTCAAAAGTCTATTATTAATGTATTTATTGAGACGTTTTGTGAAATAAACTCACTGGTTTTGTTATGATTATGAATACAAAGATCGAAGGCACAGAAAAATTTCGTCGACCCGGTGGGACTTGAATCTACGACCATGCTGCACCGTAGCATTGCTCTAACCATCTGAGCCACGGGTCCAGTTACCGAGTCGTCGAAATTCTCCTATGTGTTTTTGTTATGGATTTTTGTACTTTATTATCTATGTTTTTGGAAGTAATGACACAGATTATTTAATAGTTACTACGTAACAGGTACGCAACTCTCAAACCCAAATACAAAATCGAAAATATCTACGTTATAATAGCCTACTGAATCTGACTAATGACACCAGGCGTTCACTACGAGGAAAAAGGAAGGAAGCACGCGCACAGAGAGGTGAAAATAACGTTGCTCGCCGTGTAAAGTCGTGCGAAACCGATGCTGGGATTTGTATGGATTATCCCACGCGCTTGTAGATCGAACAAGAGTGCCGCAAATTCAGACACGCACACACACGCACGCACGCACGCACGCACGCACGCACGCACGCACGCACGCACACACACACACACACACACACACACACTCACACACGCACACACAGAGACAAAGAAACACTCACTCTCTCTTAATTATTGTACTGTATATATATTACAAATGTATATACAGTACAATAATTAATATTCAAATGTTGGAGGAACCACTAACTCCTTAGATACAGGATATCCTAGTTTAGGAGTTAAGGGATCACTTTTAAATGGCATTTCTTCTCTTCTTGTACAACTATTGTGTGACATTCAAATTAATTTATTATCAATTACAATATTTTAATTGGTATACAACTCACCTTCAGTCCCATTCTGTTTAGCAGAATCCAAAAGATTACTCTCAGCAATTATTTCGTCGTGCAATTTAAACTCTTCCCTCTTGATTTCCTGTTCACTATTCTTTAGCTCTTCTTTCGTCGTGTCATTCTGTTTGTCTGGGATCACTGGGATGCTTGGAAGTTTGTCTTTGGGTATTGGTTCGAGGGGCCTAGAGAAGGTCTCGTTTAGTTCTTTTTCCGGGTTCCGCTCTAATGGCTCTTGATTTTCATAGGTTTGCGGTGGGTCCAAGCCACAAGATGACTGGAAAAAAGTAAATAAATTTAATAAAATTTGTCTATTAAACTTGTGATTTGTTTATTTTTTAAAGATATCCTTATTAGTAAGATGTGAATGCCTAAGATTGCTCTTTGAGTCAAATTAGTGTGAAATCTAAATCCATGTCGTCTTTCCATACATCTTTATCCAACACGTAGTCTTCCTTTTCAATTAAAATGCTTTTAATGTAAGTTTTAAACTTAGGAAATGATAATCTATATATGCTCCGGAATCTTAGTGTAAAAAGCATACCTATACAGTTCCCCTTAAAATAATAGTTTACCTAGTTATACGGAATCGTGGTACCATGAGTTTGGACTTAGGTCTAAGATTAATATTAGGCATATTTATTAGCGAAAACCTAAGAACTCGACATATCTATTTTCTTTCATAATGAAATTAAGTATATTTTTACGTGCATACAAAATATTGGAGTATATATACTGTGATGCCACAGTCGTGATACCAGTCTCCTTAATTTTTTCTCTGAGAGAAACCTGAGAACCTAAATGGTACTCAGAATAAATCGTTCGATTTTGCAACACAAACATGGTTTCCATATCTGCCGCTTTACCCCACATGGGAAACCCCTAGGACATTACACTATGGAAGTAACTACAACAGACACCATCACGCTTGCCATCCGTATCGTTACACTCAAGATTTTCGGGAACTGCCACTAGATTGAGGACCTCCATTGTTACCCCTTCTATGAAGCTTCCGACCCTCCTTTGTTAGTGCATATGCCTGATGTCCCGATCCCACTTCAGTGTGCTCTCAAGTCACAAAATCCGTAGTTACGGCCGTTTTTTCACCATAAATGATCTACAGAATGAGTTTCGATCGGGGCTAGAACTAAGAATGTATAACAACGTCAAATGGCGAGTTTGGGACGAGCCCGCCATTTCGTTGACGGCCTTCGAGTGTAATCCCTACGGATTTCGTGCTGTGAGAATGGGACCCTAGCTGTGCTGTTTTAGTTCCCTCAAACAGGAAATAAAGAAAATATGCCAAGTTTCTTAAGGAGCTGATTATTGCACTCGAGTCTTTCGAGTTTTCGATATAGAAATGCTATTTATACACATTTATAAAGGTACTTTTTTGAATAACCTTACCAGTATAAACTGTAGTAATTTCACTATTCTTCTAATATCCTTTAAGCAGCATGCGATAAAACAACAATTAAAAATAAATAATTTCCAAATTCTAGAAGTACCACAAAATATGAATACACAAAAAAATGATTAAAAAAAATTTTAATTGCAACTGTTTACTTTTTTATATACTTCCAAGTTTATGCGAAATTAAGGGTCGTTCACGTACTTAATCTTGACATAAAAAGCCCATAGGGCTATAATGTAATGAAAAAGCCCGTGGGTATAATTTAGGATATTACGGTCGACTTTCCCCGCATGTCATGTTTACGAGCAAGTGTGATGAAAAATATTATTACTTTTATATAAAGGACAAAACTAACTTAAATAAAGGGCAAAGTTATAAGAGTAAGTTGTGCCTCTTTGTGTGATATGCCTCAATATCATTTCTTTTTTATATCATTGTCTTTTATTACTATCATCACGCGATGTCAACATTGCGACACATTTGCAGAGGATCAGCGATTGATCGCCGAGAAATGTCGATGTCGATGAATGTTGGGTCAATGACCGCTATTGCCATGTCAAATGGCATAAACTATAGTTAGTTAAAAGGTGCAAGATATTATAGAGTTGCATGTTAAGACACTAGAAGCTCGAGCTCGAATTAGGTAATTCCCTTGAAGAATTATAAATAAATAATAAATTGACTATGAGTAAAGGGATTTACAATATTAACACAATGACATTGCGTGTGTGTTACAGCGTGCGTACTACGTCCGATTCGTACCAGGGGGGTCTACTGTTGATCTTCATCCGACATCCGTCCGAAACAATTACTGCCAAATAAGCAATACTTGACCAAATGAAAAGACGCGTGATGCGAATGAAGCTTCATACTTGAAACCTTTCTTTTCATTTGGTCGAGTATTACTTATTTGGCAGTAACTGTTTCGGACGGACGTCTGACGGAGATCGAGAGTAGACCCCCAGTTCCGAATCCGAGAAATCACGGTCCGAAATGTCACAGGGATCATTTTATGGAGCATAGATGCATGAGCAATGTTCGTATTTTGTCGGATTGGAATAGGACTTAGTGCACAAGCAACAGCCGATCTGGTTGGAGTTTTCTAGATTCGTATAGTCTCGGATTTGGAAAGAATGCGAATCGGCACAGTAATTTTAACTCACCTGACATTCAGCATCCAACTCATTGTCTGTATTGACATTGAACGTACACCCACCGCCAATTACCTAAAACAAAAAAAAAATAGGCTATATTAAACTACGGTATTACGGTGACAGACTCTTGATTGTCATTGCATTCAGAGTCCAGAGTTCTCTTCATGGGCACTGGATCCAAATGCATATTAATGTTAATATATTAATATAATATTAACTTACCTCAGCAATTCGCGATAGAGAAACTGGTTTCTCGAGCCGCGGCGATGCTGATGTTTGCTCCATATCTGTGCATAAAAAAAATCATCATTTTCATTGTAATTTCGATCATTAAAATTATTCATTAAAGAAGTTTCAATTTTTGTAAAGTTTGGGTCAGACGGTGGGAAAGGGGGCACATGAAAACTGGACCAAAACATGTTAAAAATTGAATTATATAGGTTTTGGAGCTGAGAACGGCTCGTGCGGCTTTTTCATATACCTAACCTACTGGGAGGTGGTGCACCTAAATTTGACTCTGGAATGGTACATTTGATCAAAAGATATTTCCACAAACTTAAAAAAAGATCGAATTTTTGTAAGCCTTGGTAAATTAAAAATGTTCAGATTAATTTTCACGAAAACTATCACCCGCACAGAAAAATTAATAAGAACAAAAAATGCTTATTTAAGTCTAATCTATTCGAAACAAACACTAAATACCATTTACACCAAGTTAAAAAAAAAATTTTTGTCCTGTAGTCACATGTAAATGAAAATTGTTCAGTTTAAATTTCTCGACAACTATCATTATAATTAAATTTTCATTGAATTGATATTCAATTATTTTTTGTGAAATTACTCCACTAGTTTGTTATAATTATTAATACAAAGATCGTACACTCAGAAAAAACACTTAGAAAAAATTCCTTCGATCCTTCGAATTCGAATTATCATTATATCCCGCAGAGGAAAAATATTTAGAAAAAAAAAAATTCGTACTGTCCAACCAAAGTTCGACACCGCTTCAGTACCTACGCCCATGTCGGGCTGCATGATATGTACTTTCCAAGATCCTCATCATATCTCGTCATTGACCTAGGTCAATGTAAGTCGTGGATATCGTTGAAGAATTTTAATAGTCTGTCTTTTTTGAAAACGAAGTAAAATGAATGACATTTGCAGGGTAGGCAGTCGAAACTTGATCGAAAACATACTTACGAAGCACATTTTTTACGTAATTCCTGGATGCATGGAGGGTAGTAGCTATTGTATGGGGTGAGTTTTCAGTGGGGGATGTAGTTGTGTATTCTGGCGTAGTTTTATGCGGTCCTTTCTCTATGCAACAAACAAAAAGATTGCATTTTAAAAATAAATTTTAAAATTCATAACACGAAAATGTGCACGGAAGCCAGCTGCGACAAAATGTGAAAAAATTAATAGTTAAATATCTTTTAAACACGAAAATAGCATCCTATAAATAATTATACACTTTAAAATCATTTCAAGTATTATTTATTGTAGAAAAAAACATTAAATGTGGGTTACGCCACTTGTTCCTGATAGCCTCATTTAAGCGTGAAACACGGGGAGAGCGGGTGCAGGTCGAGCGTGGATTAGGTCGGGATACGCGCCCGCCCCGATCCGCGCCAGACCCGACACGCGCACGACCATAGGTGTCTCTGTGTGCTTCAAGCTTTAATATCGCTTAACAGTGTCGCTTACCAAACATTTTGATAATCCCAATTTGAACTTTTTAGTAGCTATTATAAGTTGTGAATTTGAAATATTTTTCTGTTAAATACGTTTTTGTTGAATTAATTTTATGTAAAAAAAATCACAAAGTTTGGCAGTGTCACTACAGTGCCTCAAGACCCAATAACTCACCTTTTGCTGTTTTCTTTACAGTCGCATGCTGAGGTTTTAAATTCTGCAACAAAGTTGTATTTAAGTAAGTTACAGATCAAAAAACGTTGGTCCTATCGCGAATCGAACCCGGGACCTCCTCATCCAGCGTCCACTGTATAAACTATCGAGTCACCGTGGTCGTCATGTTACAAAAGTCAATCGTGAAAATTAAAAGTTTTATTGAGATCGGTTACCGGAAGTGCGCTAAACCGGATTCATACCTTAGTTTGCCACCCTTAGAGTTGGAATATTTTTTTCATATTCAAATAATACCAATGCTGAGATGCCCTCTTTCTAACAAAAAAGAATCATCAAATTCGGTTAACAAATTATCGCGTAACATACAAAAAATACTATCGTAATTGAGAACCTCCTCTTTTATAAGTCGGTTAAAAAATTATTTGAGCCCACCTGTATTTGGTTTTGATCGGGCGGCGCTCTGTGAGCGGTGGCACCGTTGACATTGAACTTGTTATAATGCGGGTAGTTGGAAAATTTCTCGTGCATCCTTATCTCTTTCATTGACAACAACTCTTGATGCTCTCGGAAGTAGAGAGCTGACATTACCACGAGGCTGAAATAAAAAAAACAACTATTATTTTCGGATGACATCAGACCACATAGAAGCAGGTTTTTTGTGATAAATACAAGTTGGTGCCCGCAACTTCGTCTGTGTAGAATAAATACTTCGAATAGCCTACTGTAGTAATATTCATAGTTTTATTGGTTCTCCATACAAACTATCGCCCCCTACTTCACCCCCTGTAAGATTTATTTTTGTGACAAAAAGTAGCCTATGTCCTTCTCCTAGGTTCCATCTATCTCTATACCAAAATTATCAAAATTGGTTCAACGGTTTAGGCGTCGTGAAAATGTAACAGATAGAGTTACTTTCATATTTATAACATTATTTTCTTTTTTATATAATACCATTTGGCATTTGAGATGAGATGCTACCGTCTCTTGTTGCACATTGGTTGGACACAGAGTGTCACGACCGAAACCGTGCTTCAGCTGGTTCAGATGTCCCGGAAAATGATGCCATCTATCAAAAGGCGCAAAATAGAATATCTTAGTCACGTGATCAGGAACAATAGATACACGCTGCTACAGCTAATAACAATGGGCAAAGTGCAGGGAATGAGACGCGCTGGGCGTAGAAAGAAATCGTAGCTGCGGAACATCCGGGAGTGGACCGGCATTGCCTCTGTCGAACAGTTTTGGTTGGCTGTTGATAGAGACGGATACAGTGCGCCTGACGATTAAGCTACACACCTGTCCATAACAGTGGCAGTACCACTCAGAGCTTTAAATCACAAAGATCTGAGGGGCACTGACACTGCGGCCGTCACCCTGAGACATAAGTTGACAAGTCTCATGTGCCTGTAATTTTACCAGCTTCCTTACCCTTCAAAAACCAAATGCTGAGGTACCCTCTTTCCAACAAAAAATGAATCACCAAAATCGGTTCACAAATGCCGAGCTATCGCGTAAAATAAAGACAAAAAAACAGTCCAATTGAGAACCTTCTCCTTTTTTGAAGTCGGTTAAAATATGTTGCTAACTGATGAAATGTTATAGTGTACCTACATTTATTATGATTAGAGGTAGTATATTTAGAAAAGACAGTTTTAGTTTAGAAAATTGGCTAGTACCTATTTAATGTAACTTAATTAATGAAGAATTAACTAGAATAGATATACATGTTATGTAATTGAAAAGAGCGTTGTCTTGCTAACAAACTGATGCCCAGGTTGGCATGGTCTTTAAAATAAGTACAAACTGTAAATCTGTGGAGAAATAAGTAATAAAATAAAAAGCTGTAACTGTGGTGGTAAATGAAATGATGAACTTACCAAACAGCCATAATAAATATCAGAATAGTTATGACAATCTGCAAAAACTTATTCGATATCAGTTCGCTGCTTGCATCACCGTACCGATCTCTCCTTCCACAACAGAACGCTAACTTTTGTTCATAGTTATAATCATCTCTGAACCAAATATTCGTATGCGAATCTTGGTTTTTCTTTGACACCGTGTTAATATCTTCTTGGCTCTTGGTTTCGTCGGTGTAAGTCGGAAATGTGTCCAACTTTTCCGTTTTGTCATTTTTGTTATTATAAATTTTGTTGCTGTTGTAATGTTTCCCCAAACGTGTAGTTTGGCAGTTCTTGCATAACTTTCTTGTGTATTTTGGTGAATGATGGCTGATTTTTGAACAGCATTCGTGTTTACGGATATTTCTGGCTATATCGCGAATCTGCTCAATTGATATGTTGCCGTCGCTGTAGAGGGATTTTGATGAAGCTGAAATTGCTGAAAAGCGGGAATCTGAAAAAAATAAATATTGGAGATAATATTATTGGATCCTCAAAGATATAATTGATCTATTTTAAATGTGCACTTTTTGAATAAACGATATTTTTTTATGTTTGATAACATATTATATCATATGTTAATTGTTCCGTCCATATTAGTTGATCGAGCGAAGCGAGCGTGCCGCGGCAGCGGCCGGCGAGTGCCGGAAGCCTATTTGCTTGCGTTTCTTTCGGCGTTTCGTTCCAGGTTAAATTATGTTGTAATTAACATAATATCAATGTACAAACATAATCAAAATTTACTTAGTTTTAAAAGCAAGTATCTAAGTTTTATTTTTATTGCTCATTTGTCTTTGTTTGAAGTCCAACATGACACTATCAAAGTTAATTTATAGAAATCAAACATTTTTTGCGTAGCTCACAGAAAAAGGGTCAATCATTAAAAAGATGACCGTTTAGATTTTCTGCTCGCTGTTTTTGCAAATTTAAAATGATCATTGAAATACATGGCTAAATATTGTGATATAGTTTAATGAAGGTAATAAGAAGGTTCTAAAATCTATCACTAGATGTCACTAGCGGCGCCGAATGCTGAAAACCAGTACGTTTTTGTTATAGATTATCTATAACAAAAACGCATAGAAGAATTTCGACAACTTGATAACTTGACCTGTAGCTCAATCGGTACATGGTTGATACCATAGTAACGTAATACCATCACCTATTATTGCAAGTTATTTTTTATTATTATTTGATATTATATTGAAATTTCAATCAATGTGCTGCCATCTAGCGGTTAATTGCTGAATGACTGACTGACTAATTAATATCGTCGTTATTACAGAAAACTCATAGAGCACAATTTCGTTTCGACACATTGCAATACGGAGTAAAAACAAGGAGTACAAGTATGGAGGAGAGCTAGGTAGGAAGTTAAGACAGGAGGTGAAGGTTGGTACAGAAAAATACATACCATTGCTAACACTAGACCGCGAACTATCCCGTCGTTGCAGAATGCTCATTTTGCACAATTTCTTATTGATGCGCTCCAACTGGTCAATTCGGGACTCAAGATTGCCAGTTACTTTGCACAATTCCTTCACAGCGCCAAGATTCTCCATGAAGATTCGGTCCTAGATGGTGTTTATTAATTAGTTACCACAAAACTAGCATCACCGCTGATAACTTAAAAAAAATGGAAATAAATTAATTTGCTACACCCAGTAGATTTGTTCCTGATCGGGCCTCAGAGGGATCGATTCTAGTTAGTTCAATCGGTCAATTGAACTAGGTCGGTCATCTAGTTTCCTAGTTCGTTAGTTTCTTTTGACCTTGCTCGGACATTGAACGTTCAAGTTCATGTGAATAAAGAATTAGTTATTTTATTCAGATGAACTTCTACTACGAACTTCTAGTATTGTAAGATCAAAAGTACACAGTACTAAATATATTAAAATACAATTTGTATGGAATCGGTACTATTTGATTTTTGTTTAAGACTGTCATTCTAACCAAATATCTTTTTTTACAAAACAAGAATGGAATAACGTATATTTTAGTTAAGGTGATGAGTTTAAAAGCTCTATATTTACAACGATTTCATATACACGTAAGTTTATATTATAGATACCTACCACACCTACCAAAAATTTGAGCACTTACTTTTTTACAAGCTTAATACATAATGTAGATACGTATTAGACTTAAAACGAGCTGGCAACGTTCAGTCGTGCATTCCACTCGAACTTGCTATTTTAGCAGTGAAAGATCGCTAATTGTCCCGCTCACACAGTTCCTACTGAATAAAAGACAGGTGAACTATCAACGTAGACAGTTCCTAGTTCGCACTGAACTGGAAAGGCCGACGAACTAGTAAAACCGTGCAAGACGGCTTTTTCATGTCTATCAGTGTCGAGAATATATTCCTAATAGTTCGTAGCACATGAACAATACAAGCCCAAAACCCAGTGATGGTAAAATCAAGTAAAATCGATGCGATTGTATTGAAATTAATAAAAGTTACGTAAGCGCAAGTAATTTTCATATATCATCAACCCATTTATGCGTCCCACTGCTGGACAAGGGTCTCCTCCAGGCGAGGGTTTATGTTAGGCCAGAGTCCGCCGCGCTGTAGGGGACATCACAAGTTTTTCGAGAGTTGTGAACGTTCTCCAACGTGCAGGTTTCAACACGATGTTTTCCTCCATCGAAAAGCTCGTGGTAAATTTCAAATTACACTTACTGGTCAAAAATCAACACTTGCACCAAAATTAGGTCCAAAAATAATTCATCCCGTGGTGCGATTGTTTGGGACATACCTTGTTAACAACCAGGAACTTCTGTATGGTATCTCCGTTCGGCAGCGTGACGTCACCAGCTTCTTTTACAGCTTCAGGTATCACCCTTCTGACTTCTTGAGCTATCACTCCTGTGTCAGATTGCGGGGTTGAGCTGGTCGGATCAAAGCCTAATAGTCCGGAGTGCTCGGCGAACGATGGATCGTAGTTGAATCTGGAAGACGAGTTGGTAGGACGTCTCAATGGATATTCAAATATCTAATAGAAAATATAGAAAACTATCGCGAGACTTTTTCTTTGGGACGTCGTCACTTAGTCACCGTCGTCGACAACAGTTGAAGTGCCACTCAGAGCTTTTAATCGCAAGTTTCTTAGGGGCACTGCCACTTCACTGTGCCCGTCAACCTGAGACATAAGTTGACAAGTTCTATGTGTCTGTAATGTCACCAGCACCCTTACCATTCCAAACCAGAACGCAGTAATGCTCACAGTACTGCTTGGCTTATATTGTAGTTTGTTCTATAGAAAAATTGCCTACACTATTATATTGTTTCATTCTTCCCGATGACGTCATATCGTATAGAACAAAATGGCACGTACCCAGTCGAGGTGCAGATGTTTTAGGCATAAATATATCTTTTATTTATAATGGTCTTCACCAACTTAGCATACCAATTTAAAATTTGAGGTCATATTTAGAGAGAGTATATTATAGTATTGAAGGCGTAGTTTGATATTTGAGATCTTTTAATTTAAAGATTTTCTTAGAATCCTCTGTACTCACTTGACAACCCGTATGCTCTGCACATTTTTTAATTGCTGTGCAGTGTCCAACTCTTCAATATTGTGTTTGGCGCGTGCATCAGATGGGTGTACTATGTGTCCCATCACCTTGAGGTTACCTGTGGTAGAAATGTGGTTGAATGCACGGAAGAAAAAAAAACAATGAATAGCCTTAACTCGATTACTATCAGAACCGCTGTTGCCAAAACTCACACATTCTTTATGAAATCTTGATAATGGTTGGTCGTAGATTTAAATTTTAGAAGAAATAAATTCTAGACCGTTAATTTAAACTGTACCATATTGTCAAAAGTTCAATACCATCAATAACTATTATTAAAAGTTACAACTTTTTGATTTTATATTGAAATTTCAATCAATGTGCTGCCATCTAGCGGTTAATGGCTGAACGATGACGAATTCGAAATGTTTACACAGTTCTCCAAAAAAGAAGCGACCATATTGCGGTTCACTTTCGTTTCTTGTGACAAAAAATGATAAATTTTATATTTATTATGATAAACAGAAAAGTGAAAATTTATTAAAATTAAATAAAATAAGACTTATGATACGGAATACTACTTTATATATAATATTACAAGTGCGATTACCATTTTTGCATTCCAAAGTAGTGAAATTTTGCGCGTGATAATTGACACGACTATAAATATAAAATGAAAATTGCGGACTGAGCTCAAGCTTGCGGAACTCCACGTATTGTTGGCACACGTGCCGCCCAAAGCACTTCTACAGTATTTATTGTTCTGTAGTTTAATGTACTGTGTTGCCGTATGTACATGATAAGTTTTTCAAACAGACAATATAAAAGCTTACCATTGATAACACAGGATTCGTCAGGTCTGTCCGTATTTATCCCAACTCGGCCGTTATAATGGACACTGTTCTCCGAAACGCCGCGCTGCCACCAGTTTTCTGAACAATCCGACTCGAATTGCCCAGGGTTAGAGGCCTGTTTGCAAAGAAAAACAAAAGTACGTGTCATATTACACTTTACATTTTATTCGGTATTTATTTTTTTTACATTGAAAAGAATATAACATTAAAACTATCGAACTAGTTGTACTGAATACTTAAAATTGTATCATAAAAGTAACATATTATTCTAAAATTACAAAGATGATTGTATCACGAACTTAATCAATCAATTTGAGCGAAATGCATTGTATTCAAAATAATGTTTAAAGAGCGATCGTTTGAACTCTGACTTGTGATGTTCATAACACGATCAGATTCATCAATTATTAACCAATTGTTCCAACGATTTAATTGATATTATGATAATAAAACATCGAATTTCTAAAGTTTGTGATCTGTTCGTTGTTATGAACAGTTTATAGTAAACATATGTCTCTCAATGATAAGTGGAGATGACGGATGTCTTTTATTATTTTAGAATAGCTAATTCTTGCTCCATTTACATCACCATCATCAGTTAAACATGTACTAGACAAAAAAATAGGCACATGAGACTTGTCAACTTATGTCTCAGAGTGACAATGCCTTTCAGATCTTTAGCATTTAGGGTCGTATTGCAGAACTCTACTCAATGCTCAAGTCAGGACTTGAGTATGATTTAAAGCACTGAAAATCATACTCAAGTCCTTGCCATTAGGGTCGTATTTCCAGTGCTTGAAATCATACTCAAGTCTGCTCAAGTCCTGACTTGAGCATTGAGATAGAGTTCTGGAATACGGTCCTTAAAGCTCTGAATTGCAATGCAACTGCTATAGATAGGCATGTCGCTTACCACCAGACACATGACTTGTTCGTCCTGTCATCTCGCACCTAGTATCATAAAAAAATTTTTCAACCGTTAATCTTATTATGGACATAGGTTCCTCAATGACAGTCGAATTTCTTCTGACCCTTTTCTGTTGTCATTGACTTTGCTGAATTCAAGAAGTCTTACAAAAAATCCTTAAGATAGGTTATAAGGAAACTTGTTTTTGGATTTCAGTTCTTGAAGGATGGTAATACACCACGACTCAAAACAGGTCAAAATCTAAATAGCAATAAATATTTTTTGGATTGGATATTCATATCTGATTGCACATTCAGATTAGGCTGTTATCAGATTGACTGCATGTTTGCAGTTAATGCGGGAAGTCGTAATCCACTTCATGCAGCCGACACCTCATCTGCATGAAGTTGATTACGACCGCACGCATTAACTGAAAACATGCAGTCAATCTGTTAGCAGCCTTATCCTAAACTATAACCAAAAATAATCCTATATCTATCCACCGAAAACAGCGGATGGGAATGCAGAGGATTATAAATTTTTCAGGCTATTACTCGTACAATTGAAATAAGATATGAATTGCAATGCTCTGAGAACGACCTCTAAGCATAGCGTCTCAGAGTCTTGAAATGTATACCTTATTTCTTGTCTTGTGAAAAATTTCCTGTCCACTGCCTTGCCGTACGCAAGTTTGCGCTGGTCCTTACATGAGGAAACGCGAGAAATTAAAGTTCTCTCGAGTCTTAAAATGTTTGTCATGAAGGTTTAGTTAGAAAGTAGACTTACCCTAACGATAATTCTGTCACTAGCATGAGCAGCGATGATAAAGTCTCCATGTGCGGCATGAGCTCTTAAAGCTACGACCAACTGGAAGTGCCTTTGGTCAGGATTTGGTCGACCCTTCTTGCGCATGTTGTTGTTCGTCGTTTCGGCGAAGTGGAGCCTTCCCACTGTTATTTTTGCACCTTCTCGCCGGAGCTCCACACTGAAGAATAGTTTAAATTAATTTAGGAAATGAAACTATTTTTTTCGGATCTAAAACGTGTATATTTTTTTTCAAACAAACCAACGTTTCGGGGCCTTTACTGGTCGCATTGTTACGGATGACAGAGATGATGAAGTCATCAAGCAGTTAAGTCCAATATTAAAACCACCCTATTTTTCACTACTGTTATAAAAGTATATTAATTAATGTTGCAATTTTGTCTGCTTGGGATTTTTTATCAAAGGAAATACTGAATCAAAAACCAGTGGTACGAAGAAACCATCTTCCCTGTTGAAATTAGTTTTCTTTTTATTTCAATGGCCTCTCGCAGCAACCCGTGTAGATTTTTGCAAGGACCACGGGTTTGTCGAACTTAATTGAGTGTGCATGTTTACCCATGACATGCTCGCAGACTGCAGACTTATTTACGCGGCTTATTCAAATTTATATGTTAATTGATTAATGGCAAATTTTATTCAATTCAACAATGGTTTTAGGACCCTGTTGGGACTGTCACGCTTTTCCAGTGGTTTTTTTTTACTAAATTATTATCACCAGTTACAGGTTTCTTATCAAGACTAATCAACCCGTGACCACAGAGTGTGTAACTGTTCTGAAATATCGAGATAATAAGAAAAATCTCGTACTGTTACACCTGTAAGGAATAATAATATTTGCACATACAACTTGTTACATAACTCTCTAACCACATTTGTGCATTATAATTTTAATTAGTTAAACTTAAAGGAGACCATGAGTCCTAAGATGCATGACATTTAATCTCTGTTCCTTTAGCGTTTAATAATTTATTGTCGGATTGATTTGGATTACAACTTTATTGAGGAAATTATTTTTCATTTACAAAAAAGTATAAATCTGTGAAGCCTAAGACTCTTGAATTCAACAACTACGTGGAACTTCAATATTGATATAAGATATTTGCTAAAAAGTGTTCCTAAGTCTCTGAAACCTACAAACATAAATAATATTTTCAGTAATACTTACGGCACCGGATGAAATGGTTTCTTTGTTCTGTCCGATTGACTTTGTTCTATTCTGACTTCTTGACTTGGGTCTTCAGCCTGTACATGAAATATTTATTTTAAATACATGGATATTAAATGGCTGTTCTATCTCTCTTATATGTCCTTTAAACTCGTATTATTTCTCAAACTAATCTTAACAGTAAATTTAGACTGTGGTTTCAATGAGTTCTGACATTGTTAATTTTGGTGTTTCCGAAGATGTTCTACATTTTCTACTTATGAGTCGGTACAACTTCAAATGGCATTGGTTTTTGCCGCACAACAGTGATGAAGTGTTGAATCAATCACTTGGAAATAATAATAATAATAATAATAATAATAATAATAATAATAATAAATAACGCACACACTCAACATAGCCCCACACTAGGGAAACCCTGTGTCGCGGGTGCCATGGACACACACATAGACAACCACAAATTACACCCAAACTCACGAGAGAAATAAATGTAGGCCATACAAATATTTCTCCCGGCCCGGGAATCGAACCCGGGGACCTCTGCGTGGCAATCCGGTATGGTAACCGTTCGGCCACGGAGGCAGTTAAATTGCTTTGCAGATGTGTGCAGATTTCCTAATGACGATTCCCGAGAGGCGATTTTAACACACTATCCTCTGCTTGAGAGACGGTAGGTCAACCCTTTACGCTACCACGGCTGGTCTTAATCAACTTCATGTAGTCGAGACCACGACGTTAGACCATAGACCATAAAGTTGATAGCAACTTCACGCATTAACCGAATGCAGTCGAGTCGGTTTCAGTTGCATGCAGTAAATGCGTACTAAAGGAGGTTATCAACTTCAAGTAGTCGAGGTCTCATCAGCATGAAGTTGATTTCGACTTCAGGTATGAACTGCAAACATGCAGTCAATTTGTTAGCAACCTTACCGGGAATTAACTTTCATCTAGTACCCACATTTATAATTGCTCAACCTTTGAGTTCGTTCTTACCTTAACACCATAAAAGTGCAAGCAGAAGTTGTTGATCTTCTTAAAACCATCTGGTGTCTTCACATAGTGCGCTTCACCCTGCATTTGTATCTGGCATGTGACCTGAAAGTGGTTTTTCTTTTGACAGACGAACGCCTCGTCTATCTGTGAGTAGTTGAACCCTTTATCTGCTCCTACTACGTACGAGGGCGTGGACCTGAAAATAAGTTAAGCAGTGTTTTTGTTAATTCCACACCAGTACGCTTTCATGTCAATCCTGCGTCTTCAATTTTCAATTCATCTTGCGTCGAGCGTATGCAATATTTATTTCTATTATGACACATGCAGCCTTATGTTCTATCTTCCGCCATTTTGTCTGGTAAAACGCACGGATTGTTGCACGCGAACCAACCGAATTGGTGCCGGATCGGGGTGCGTTAGGGGCATGCGCTGTGGCCAGAGACGACCAAGTGATCGGGTTTCAACCCGGTGCTTTGTTAACGGCGAGTTTATATTGAGTTGAAACCCATTAACGCCCGAAATCGCGGCAAGAACAATTTACATCTAAAGTTTAAATTTTTATTGAATTGATATTCAATTATTTTTTGTGAAATTGCCCCACTAGTTTGTTATAATTAATAATACAAAGATCGAACACTCAGAAAAAAATCCTTTGATCCGGCCGAATTCGAACCGACGTCTTCTAGCATACCGTGCCAGACGCTATACCAACTAAGCCACGGAACGAACCAGCGGACCTATACTATTTACAACTAAATATTTGTTAAAAAATAGAGTTTTTTTCAAATTTAATGATGTTATTTCAAATGTTTATTGCTTTCTGAACTAGATGATTTCTAGTTGAGTTTCAATTTAATCGACTCGCTTGATTACAACAGAATATAACTAATCACCGAGATAAGATGTGTAAAGTATATAACTTAATTCACGAATCTGGTACTTCATGTCGTAAGGAATTAAAAGATAATCGAAATAAGGGTCGTGAAAATGAGTATTCCCCCGAGCAACAGCTTTTTGTACAGAACCCACTTGCGTCCAGTCAAAAATTTTCTCCTCGCTATACTAAGGATGTTGTTATGGCGGATCTTCCTATTCATATATGCACTAGGAAGAAACGTGACCTTGTCGCTAAATCTCGACTAAAACGGATACCTAATAGCGCCTAATTGTTGCAGGATCCTCTTGGCCCTACATCTTTTCCTGCAACCATCTCTAACGCAGGAAATAAGACTTGAGAATCTGGATGATGGACCCGGTGTATTACCTTTTAAATTAGGCCCCACTAATATTATATCCAGCTACCATTCGGTTTTCAATATGTCAATTTCCAAGGTCTACAGAGTAAAATTAATACCTTAAATAATCAACTATTTAATATACGTGCTGACCTTAGTAATAGTACATCTTCACTGTTCGAACCCCATGTTAACTATTTGAAAAGTAAACTAAAAACTTTATCCAAATAATTAAACTTTAAAAACAATCGCGTTAGAAGAAGACTTATCGACGGTTTAGGGTCTGTAGCGAAAAGTATAACAGGCAACTTCGATTATACGGACGCGTTACACTATGACAAAGTCATTAGAGATCTACAGAAGAAAATTCTATTATATATAAATTAAATAGTCGTGTAAGTTTATCTAAAGAATGGTCATCTCAATATTCAAAAATTATCGATAGTATAGTCTCTAATCAACATAAGATAGAATTGATCATGAATAAAATAAGAAATAGTGTAGCTACCAATGAATATGATTTAGTAAAGTACGCTCATTTAGCACAAGCATTTCTCATCATAGAGATAATATAACAAAATTACAAAATATCTTGGCCTTTATTCGAAGTTCAACCATGCATCGTTCCATTATTAGCCCAGATTCAATTCGAGATCTAAACAGCAAAGTCAAGGCGTTGTAAGGCGAAGGCAGTATAATAGATTTAGAAATTAGAGAATATTATGATATAATTAAGCTAGGTTCTTATTACGTAGGAAATAGTATAGTAATAGTATATAAGTTTCCTATTATATTATCCCAAACTTATAATCTTTACAAATTATCTATTATACCCAATAAGAATCATGAGATCCTTATTCCGTTGTCCCCATTCCTCGCTATCCCTCCGAAAGATTTCAAGTACCTATGTACTTGAATATGTAGTGTATGTAGACAGAATGCTCGAAGACGAGCAAAGGGTATCTATGTAAGGAGATGTGCAACCTGCGGAGCCAGACGACCTCAGACTGCATTCATCACTTGATTGCCACTCAACAAAGAAGTCCTGCATGTAGCCCAATCGCCATTTTACTAGAAAATCCAGCCTTCGAGGAGCTCGACGACAAGCACAAGCACAGTCAGCTTCCCGAAACCAACCAAGGTGCATTTATCCTCATCATGATTCCACCCAGATGCTACGTCGAAACACCAGAGTTCCTAATCTCCAATACTAAATGTCGAATAAAAGGACAAGCCTTGAAGATTCTGGACCTACCGGAGAAATCCAGCATCATTTCACCTATAACACCACCCTTCATGCTAAATTCTATAAATTTAGATAATCTATACGCAACCAACTCTAAGATTGCACTGCAGTCTCCGCTGAAGCCGCTTGCCGCCACCGACTACAGCCTGTATCATAGAACTATTTCAATGTATGCATTACTATTCGGTGCATGTGTACTGACCGGCGTCATGTTGTATCGAAAGTATACGAGCAAGACTAAAATCAAAGAAGATGATTCACAAGAGGTTCGTCCCCAACTTCCAGGAGTCTATGCTATTCCAAGTTTAACAAGATCGCAGACGACACAACTTCCAGCTCAATTTACGACAAAGGTCTTCAATAGTCGCTATACTGGGGTTGGAGGTGTAACGCAAACCTAATACAAGTAATACGTCGAGTAAGCACCGCCCCGATTCAGTATGTACAACGACCCATTGCACGAGACGCCGCTACCGCATAACGTGACCGGCTGATAACATCAATCACCTCATCGTGGCTATTTTAAAATTCATCAAATTCATTCTTGTACTTACCATCGGTCGAGTCTCATATTTTTATTGTCTTGTAATTTTAATTATACTTTATTTAATAAAATTGATTTTTTTTTTGGACCTTCCGCTGCAAAACCACATAATTATTTGAGCTGTTATATACAATAAATAAAGAGCCCAAATATAAATAAATAAAAAGTCCTTTGATCTGGCTGCACTAGAATCAGAGTCTATTGCCATACCGACCATCGCTTTTAACCAACTGAGCTACTGAAACAATCGGCAGATTTTACGAATTTCTTTAATGTTACAGATCTTTTGGATTTAAATAGCATTGTTCGCCCTCAGCGATCTGTGAACAACTTATGAAACTATTCACTCACTCAGTTAAAAGATCTAACAAATACGTCACCAATGCTCTAAATTGGTTTGTTTTGAAATAGTGCTTATGGCAACGTAATGTAGTTATACATCTCCTATGTTCCGCACCACGTGTATTTCTGTAACCGGATCTACTGAAAAACAGCGTCGTAGCACCTTTAGTGAGACGACAATATGCTGAGTGGATGACGGACTCCGTGACAGCACAGCGCACGCGCTGCCAGTCTTGTTAGTTATTATTCGTTACATTAATTATTTAAATCTTCAAATCTAATGTTATAGTCGCTAACTGTTATGCATTTTTTAGTACTCTAATGTGTGTACTGTGCTTTCATACGAAATAAATTATTTCTATTCTATTCTCTTCACTCTAAAACTAGTGTTGTAAGCATACGAGAAAAATAACAATAACGTAATAACTGCTACTTACATAGGTTTCAGGTTGCAGTCGTACAGCGCGTGCCACAACTGCTGTTGGAACGATGCGAAGCGGATGCACTGCAGCGGAGCGTCGTCCCCCGCTTCTGAGCCGTCCACGGAAGGTGGCGCAGGCCGGATGTTGGGTATACTTTCTGGGGATAGCGCAGCTGGAAGTGGAAATACTTATTAAGAACGTTGGTCTCTAAGCTCCAGCTGTATGGCACTCTGAGCGATACATGAGTAAGACTTGGTTTTGATTCCAATTTGAACTCAATTCAGAAAACAACGTGGGATGAGAGAACTACCATAGTAGATCAAATTTTTGTGGATGACGATAACCAGTTTTCATCAGAAATATCATACACTCACACATACACAATATATATTTGTATGTATAGGTCATAAACTCATTACACACTGAATATTTGTTTATTTTCTTGTTTTCCATTTCATTATTATTAACCAACGACAGCAAAAAAAGGACGAAGATGAGGATATATTTTTTGTGTATATATGTTACGCGATAACACCGAAAATTGTGAATCGATTTCGATATTTTTTTTTATTAGAGAGGAAGTATCTTAACCTCAGGGTCCCATTCAAATTTGAAGAAAATATTCCACTCCCAAGGGTAGTAAAATAAGGGATGCAACCAGTTTCCTGGATTTCATATACTTTCCATTAAGTGATTTCAATAAATCATGGCAAATAGATGTAATTCCGCAAACTTTTGAGTTTGGTTCTTTTTTTAGAAAAAAAATATAATTTTTATTTTATTTGAACTTACCCCTTTAATTTGTTATAAACTCAGGTCTAAGCTTGGAGAATTACAATAGAAACGCAAGCATACAATGACATTTGCTTAATTCGATTTGATCTATAATTGTTGTAGGTACCAAATTGAAAAATAACCATTATTTATTGGCAGTAGAAATTTCAATACAGTTCCTCCAGGAAAGTACTGCCACTTGACCTATTTCTGCCGCCAAGGGGTAATGTGAGCGTTACTGCGTTTCCGTTTTGAAGGGTAAGGGTACTGATGAAATTACAGGCACATGGGACTTGTCTACTTATCTCTCAGGGTTGACGGGTGCAGTGGTAATGTTCCTCAGATCTTTGTGATTTAAAGCTCTGAGTGACATTGCAACTGTTATGGACAGGCATGTCGCTTACCACCAGATACACGAATTTCTCGTCCCGTCTCTTAGTATCATATTAAAAAAAATATAGACCGCCCAATTGTTTGCCAGTTAGTGTACTACTTGGTAAGAAAATTCGTTTTAGAACAGAAAATTCTGGAAAATAACCGGTTAATTGTACGATAACTTACAGAAAGATGCACTGTATCTTCCAGTTATATGCGAACCATTTAATCTGCTTGCTAGGTTAACTGAACATCACGTTCTGGGAGCTCGGTGATCTAAGGAAGTATCATGTAGTATCTGTGTATGCCCATACACCACCTTACTCCATGGATTGGAGTGGGTAGTACACAGAGAAACACTTGCAAAGAAAATGGTACAAGTGTATTGGTATACGTAAAATACAGATGTTATGGTGGCAAATATTTCCTAGATGTAGTGTATCGGTGGACAGTTGGTAATGTACTACGTAAAATAAAGTGTGAATCACGTATTTAAGTTAAAGTGCGGCACGTGGCTAAAGTAGATCGCCGCGTGCGCAGAGTGACATCGAAGAATGTATGAAACCATACAATCTGACCTTTCATTAATTTTATTTTTAACCATAATTTTTGTACTAACAATAGAATAAGATAAATGTGTCTAAGTGTATTAACGAAATGGACTATAAATTGTCTGCAATAAATTGTATGTGTTTTTTTTTTTACTTTTCATTAAAACTTTAGGACACAGTGGTAAAAGTAGCAACCACTATTATTCTGCCGTCCAGTAACTAAAACGCGGCGAAGTGGCAAATGGTCAAAATCCGTTTAAAATAGCAAAAAAATAGAGCACAAAATTCTCGTTTAAAAACCGTTAAAATTAGTTAATGTGTTCGACTTATAGGAACTTACTCTAACGATGCGTAGCTGAAATATCATTAAACATTTTCAATATTCTAAAACTGGGTTATGGTTTTTTTATAATATCTCAAAAAAATATTTTGCCACTTAGCCACGTTTTAATTAACAGACGGCAGTACTAAATGTTTTTATAATTTGCTGACGGATCACGTTTACAAGCTCTCAGTCAAACAAATAGGCAATAATTCATAACAAAAATGTACTTTCATTCGTTTAAATTTCAACATTACACAAATATCAGTATAAATGTATGTGTTAATAGCCAACCAATTATCTTGAATAAGTCTAATTAATGAATATTTCCTCGGCATCTCTCTATTTTAATTTATATTATTTCATTCAACATTCCTTAAATCGTAATAGTTTGAAACAATCAACAAATTCCATCTTAATTAAAAAGTAAATTGCATAGGAAGATTTTTTTGCAACGAGCATAATAGGTTTTTTATTATATCTCGTTACAATACCTATTACAGAGTATTGCCTATGATAATATCTGTTACTTAATGATCTGTTACGAAGCATACGTGCGTGAATCGGAAATGTTTTCTAATAAATCGAGTACGTTACTACGTATCGATTAAATATTAACAAAAGAACAACGTGTTTCGCTGGAGGGCCAATAAAGTTTTAAACAGAATTTGGCTTGATAAAGAGCTTTTAGTAGATTGTCATCAATCCCCACCGCTGGGCACGGGTCTCCAACTCTCCATTCTTGAAGGATAAGGGTGTTAGTGAAATTACAGGCACATGGGACTTGTCAGCTTATATCACAGGGTGACAGGCGCATTATTAGTAGGCATCTAGTATATAACCAGAAACAGAGACGAAATAAGGGCCATACATTCCTGGTACCTAACTCATCAGTGATACATCACTTATAAATATTAACTCTAGTTCGCACTGAAATATAGACAGCGCAAACAACTGACCTGTGTGTACGTCTCTGCATATTCCAAAAATATTCTGTATTTATTGTAATAAAGATAATAATCTCTAACAATGGCGTGCTGCCATGCGGCGGTGTGGGGAAAAACAGCACAACATCCAATTACAAAACGAACGAAATCAAATTTCATCGTTAATTAAATGTGAAATATGTAATTTTACAATTTTCGTCCATTATAACAAAGCTCAAGGTCAACTGGTCAATTTGAAGTGAAACAATTGACGAGACCCGTCAATTGTTTCGAACTCGGGCTGGCCAAGCGGAGCGCAGTTGTCACAGTAATGATATGGCAGAATAGTTTTCAAACAAATACAATGACATTTCGCGCGAGTGCGGCATAATGTGCGAGATCTCTATGCGATACAGCAGTATCTTTCACTTTATGTCGCTCTCGCGCTAATCGCGCCCTGTCGTACTAATCTTTGCGATTTAAAGCTCTGAATGACACTGCAACTGGTATGGATAAGTGCGTCGCTTAGCACTAGTTAGTTTTGTGACTTGTTATCATAAAAGAGAATTATACGTCCCATTGATGGGCAAAGGATCTCTTCTCAGGCGAAGGTTTTTAGGCCATAGTCCGACATGCGGGCCCAGTGCAGGTTGGGGACTTAACAAGTTTTCCAAGGGTTGCCTGAACCTTCTTCGACGTGCAAATTTTGATTCGAAAAGCTTCATGGTAAATTTCAAATAAAATTTCGCACATGAAAGACAATCTATTTTGTAGTTCAAACAAGAAGACCTTTATTTTATAACTAAATTGTGTTTAAATTATATTTTAAGCTTGATTGTCCGATATTGCGCTTGAATAATTGTACTTTTTAACAAAAAATATCTCGAAATCTCGTAGAATTACATCTATTTGAGGAGATTGATTGAAATTGGTTGCTGAAAAATGCGGGAAACCGGATGCTTTCCCTAGTTTGCCACCCTTACAATATTGGAATATTTTCTTCTATAAGAAACAATTGGAACCAATACTGAGGTACCCTCTTTACAACAAAAAAGAATCATCGAATACCTTTTTTGAAGCCGGTTAAAATAGTTCAGCTGCAGTTTTCTTGTAGCGAATAACAGTGGTAACAATCCTGTGAGAAATGAAATTATGTTTTCGGATCTAAATGGCGTGCATTTGTTTTTTTACAAACGAATCTACGTCTTGGGCTCTCTACTGATCCCGTAGCAGACCTTGACCATGGCTTGGGATGATATGGCATGAAGAGCCCGAAATATCAACCTTAGACACACCCCGGACATTCCATACAAAGGTCGAAAGTTATTTACCTACTACTACTACAGACAGCAAGGCGCTATCTGCAAACGTGCTAATTAACGTGTGAGTGAAGTGGTAGGGTTACCCATCACTTTCTCGTAATATTATTACGTTACGTTGTCAGAGCGGCAATATAACGAAAATTATAACGCGAATCTGTTATCAATAATTTTATTATTAAAATGTAATGTTTTATTAATTCAGTAACTAGAATACCATTGAAGATTTAAGTTTAAAAACATTAAAAGCATTGCAAATGAAAAGTTATATTACAAAATTGAAGAGTATGTGTTAGATAAAGATGTATGGAAAGACAACATGAGTCTTGATTCCACACAATTATGATTCAAAGTGTAATATTCTCGTTTCGGCTGCGTAGGACATAACTGGAAGAACGCACTGGTTAAATGCCTTAGTTTTTAGGCCTTGTGGGAGTGACGACGTGAAGATGTAGCTAATCTATGATTACCTTTATTTTATATCTAAAAGAAGGTCTTCAAATTATATTGATTGCTTTGATATATTTGCCTTTATATTGATTGAAAAGGGATCTCGTGCAAAGACGTAGTTACGAGGTTTTCAATAAAAAAAACAATAGGAAAATCATAATTAAAACAATTCGTTAGTGTCTTCAAATGTCTTAATTACAAGTTCGAATAAAATAAATTAATTAGGTGTTTTCTAATTATAATAGCGGCCTGTCTAAGTCTGGGAATAAAATCATATTTAAAAGAAACTCTAATGACTAATTAGTATGTAATCGGACTGAATATCTCATTGACTTACAAATAAATGGACGACGGGTCTAATACAAAAACCAC